CTCTCCATTAAAAGATAAGACAAATTTTTAGCACGTTTAGACTAGAAATTGAGAACATACACACAGAGCTCTTTCTTGCTCATAAACAGGTTGGAAGAAAGGACCGTGGACACATATATGCTATTCTTGCCTCTGTGCAGACTCTCCTTGGAATGGATTACAAGTTTCAGGCTTATGGTAAAAGGGATAGAGCAGGAGCTCTGTCTTTGTGGCTGGAGTAACCTAATCGATGTGTTAGAGTTGGGAAGATGACATTTCCTCTGCCCCAGGTATCAGGCATTGCTAAGGAATATGCGTTGAATTACTGTGTTGTAAACTGTGTTGTATCTTCTACAGATACCAAACCTTGTGTTTTTTACACAATATAAGGCACCAACGTTGTGCATAGTTACATAGACCAGCCCACTTAGGTCTGGAGTCTTTTCCTTTTTTTTCTCCTGGCGAAACAAACTACTTGTGATGAAGATGTGCTCAGAAAGAAGCACACACACAGACAGAGGAAGTGTACTTGGTTTTTATTCTGAGGAAGGTGGTGATTGTGTCTTTTCCCTATTGGCTGTGGTCTGACCTCACAATCTTACTCACTTGGCAAGTCTGAAAAGAATTGGTGCACAGGAAGCGGAGGAAGGGGAGAAAGGAGTCACTGCTCAAGGAAAGAAGGGCCATTGCTTAGGCTATCAGACTCCTAGAATAGGAATAGTACTATTGAGTATTCAGGCTATCAGACTCCTAGAATAGGAATAGTACTATTGAGTAAACAAACATTTTACGGGGGGCAGGGGGATGATTAAAATATTTGCAGATCTTAAAAAATGAGAGAGACAAAAAAACCCTCTGAATTCCTTGCCCTAAACATAAGTTTTATAGAATTTGATAGAAAAGACATTTGATACTTAAAATTTTTCTTTTTCAAACTCATTGCTGTGTTGTCTTTTTTCTGCCCTATCTTGGAATAAGAAACTGCAATGGGGAGGAGGTACCTGTTTTGTAATAATTGACTCAACTATCCTGAGTTAGATTCCTACTACAAAGGATTAATTTCTTTTAATTTTTAATTAATTCTTATGTATATTTCATTAGCATGGTTTAAGGTGAGCCTGCCTTTCTAGAGATAGTTCTTTGACCAGGAGATTAACTGCCTGCAATGAAATGTTAGGTTGAATCATTGCCTTTCGCTGTGCAAAGGAGGAGCTTGTCTCCCTTCAGGTGAAGTACCCAGAGTGCAGGGCTCCAGGAAGCATTACAGTGTTGCTATATAGATTTTCAGAAATGTAACATTTGCATGTAATGCTTGTAATATGCATTCAGGCAGTTGTGAATCTTCTATGACTATTGGCTCACTCTTGTCAAACCTGAGGGCTGCTCAGATCTTTTTGTTGTTGTTTACCTATTTTCAGAATATCTACTGTGAATTAAAATTTGTTATACCACTGCCAAAAAAATAAATAAATAAAGTTGTTTTTGGAACCCAGTCTCAGAAATTTCTTATACATGTTGTCTGAGGGCTATTGTATCACAAAGGCAGAACTGAGTAGTGATGGAGATCGGGGAAACTTAATATTCGCTATCTGGTTCTTTACACACAGATTGTTTCCAGCGCCTAGATTAGGGGAAGACAGGGACATTTCTGAGTTTTGAAACCTTCTTCCTGTGGATCACTCCTTTCTTCCTTATTATCCTTATACTTATACTTTTATCCAATCCTTTAAAATTTTCTTTACTGAATTTCACCCTATACCTAAATAAAATGTTCCGTGTAAGCTCTCTAAATAACTCTCACCCTACAGCAGCTCTGTTTGTTCCTGATACATCTGCAGGAGATCTTTTAGTTGTGGAGAAACTGGCTAAGGGGACCTTCATCCTTTCTACCCCAGACCTGACGGAGTTCTTTACATTGGTCCTCTATTTTCTCCTGTTCTCTTTGATGCTCTGCAGCTCCCTGCTATTTCTAGCTCATTTCCCTGGCAGTGGGACCAGTCCCTGATACCCTACATCAACTCTATGCTCATTTTTCTGGCAGTGAGACTGCTCACTGATGCCTACATCAACTCTGTCCATTTCCTCTCAGCAGCCTGCTCTGTTTCCCCTGCCTCTGTTCCTCCCTAAACCACAAACTTCCCAGAAAATCACTTGGTTTAATTCTGTTACCATATCATCTGCTTGCAGCTCTCTAATTATTTTCCATGTCTTTTCAAGAATGCAGGGCAGCAATTGCATGACCCATTGCAACCCATCAAGTTAAGACTCCCTGCTATATGACCAGAGGACTCCTTCTCAATGGATCCAGAACTACCCACTCCAGCAAAAGCCTTTTTCAGAAAAAAAATCAGCTATAATGTCCCTGCTGTATGTTTTTATATACTCTTAGAGTTAGGAATGATAGTTTCCTGCTAAAAGATTACACTTTCCAGTTTCCCTTGTGGCCAGACCAAGCAGTTCCAGGAGCAAGGGACTATGGTGTAGTAGTTTTCACCCATATAACAAGTGGGCTGCATCCCATCTTATGTAGCAGCATTTTGGGCATCCACACAGATGGGTGACATGATAGACCCTTGCCACGAATAAATATGGTCCCACCTGTGCCATGTCAGCTTGACAAGGTTGTCTGAGGAGAGGGAACCTCAATTAAGAAAATAGGATCAGGTTGTGTCAGGCCTGTGAGGCATTTTCTTAATTTGCGATCAATGGAGGAGGCCCATCCCATTGTGGGTGGTGCCATCCCCGGGCTGGTGGTCCTGGGTTCTATATGAAAACAGGCTGAGAAAGCCACGGGAAGCAAGACAGTAAGCAGCACCCCTCCATGGCCTCTGCATCAGCTCCAGTCTCCTGTCCTGATTTCCTCTGGTGATGAACAGTGATAGGAAGACCTTTCCTCCCCAACTTGCTTCTTGGGCATGGTGTTTCATCACAGCCTTATAAACCCTAAGACACCATCTAAGGTCAGGTTCACGTCACACATTTATGAAGGCCAGACTTCATAAAAGCTACCCCTTGAGGAGGTTTTTTTTTTTCAAAATGGGCACAAAGCAAAGTACTGTGGACTAGATTTCTTGTGGCCAAGTACCTTTATGCAGCCCACAGCCCACATGACTGTACATAATGATACTATCAAAGGTGGCACGATGCCAGTTGATAGGAGTTTTTCAGGGAACTGCACAATCCAGGGGTAAAGAAGAGAACAATCATAAACTTTCCATGTTCCCGTGAGTTCTTCCTTAGCCCAGTTACTGAACTTGGAGTGTTGTCTTACCTGTGACATGAGGATGATAGAGCGCTCACCATCTTAGTGTTGTAAGAAATAAAAGGGACACCAGGTGGGAGTGACGCTTGGCACAGTGCCTGGAACCTAATGGACCTTCAGAAATTCCAATTACCATATACAGGGCAAGGTGTTTGTTCTGGGGAGGGACACAGAGATGCGACCACACGCCTCCCAGGATATAGTCACTAAAAGTCTCAGGAAACAGGCATCAGTATAGGACAATTGGTGGTCATGTCACGTCAGTGCCATACAGAAAACCCCATAGCATTTCACAGGAAGAATGGAATCAAACCAGCATTTGCTGAGGGTCCTTTAGTAGCAAGTCTTGAAGTTGAGGGTGTTATTTAATCCCCACAAAGCAAGATGGATGAGGTTCGGAGAGGCTATGTAACTTCAACAAGGTCATACAGCTAGTCAGGAGGTCGGTTATCTAACTTCAACAAAGTTACACAGCTAGTCAGGAGGTCAAGCCCAGACTATCACTTCAACATTTACTATGTAGCCACGGGCTGTGTGGGAAGGCCACAAAAGGGTTGGGATTTACTCTCCCATGGTAATGGTAATGATCTCAGAGTAAGAGGTGGCTTGAGGTGCCATCTTACTAAGGAAGTTGTGTTCATAAAGATAACATAAGGGAAAAGAGGTGAACATGTGTGTGTGTTTTTGTACTCTGAGCCCAGAGCTCAGTATTTCAGCTGGACAGGCTGGTTAAAGATCTTTCTGTTTCTGCTCGCCTATGCTGGGTTTTCAGGTTCCATGAAGCTTTTTTCATGGACACTAGAGCTCTGAATTCAGCTCTTCAAGGCTGGTATGACAAACACTTTACCTACTGAGCCATCTCCCCGGCCCAATTTATATTTCTTTTTTAAAATGATTTTTTTATAAAGGTATTTTAGTATTCTGGGAAGCTAAGACTAGAAAGTGCAGGTGCTGAGAAGCAATGTCACTTGGTATCACATGGAGTCATAATTTCCCATAAGCGCCGAATCGCCTGCTTAACAGTGTTGTGTTTTCAGATTCTGGATCATGCTGAAGGATTGCAAAGACTAAAAAACACAGAGAGTCACAAATAGCCTCTCTTTTGAACAGAAATAGCTGAGCTATGGCTTTTAAAAACTGAATATATAAGTACCAAGGGAGAGCAATTTTAACTAAAATGCAGTTAATTAATTCTTCCCTTAGCCCTCTACCTTCTGAAAGTTTCCACTGTACTTGAAAGTTTTCACTGAAGATTATGGGTTAGTTTACAATCCCGTTTCCCATTTTTGTCTTCTTGTAGTATTCTGTGAACACTATTGAACTGGGACTTAGGTGAAAGACGAAAATCTTAGGGTAGTTTTTCTGTGCTTTCCTATTTTTTCTCAGGGTTTTCTGTACTCTTTCTTTTTAGGATCCAATAGTGCAGGGAGGAGAGTGGATAGTGGTAGCCAGTTGCTTTCCCCTCCCTTCCCTTCTCGATGTTAGTCTTGTGCCTCTTAAGATGTTTCCATGTACAAGAGAGAGTGTGCATATAAGGCCACATGCACCGGGAGCCCTGCTGCAGATGCAGCTGGCTTGAGGTACAGCCGAGTCTGACTGAGTGGAGAGAGTCTTCATGAGGTTCTAACCAAGATGAAACACACTTAAGGTTCGTTTGATATTAAGGCTAAGTATTTTTTATTTACCCCCAAACAGCACTATATAGGAAACCATCACAGAGTGGGACACAGTTCTGCCTGGTGGGTAGGGGCATCTTTACCTTGTTGATGACATGTATCACTCCGTTTGTGGCTGCATTGTCACCGTCCACAATGGATGCCCCCTCAATGGTGATATTCTGCAACTGCAAACACAGTTGGGGGGGGGGGTGAGTGTCCCTGGGGAATTGCATCACCTCTGGGGTGCCTGCTGCGTGAGCAGGGGTAACCACCAGAGTTTGGGGCCATATAGACAGTGACTGTCTACCAATCAAGAGCCGTTGAGCGCTAATCGTTTTGGTCCCACTGGGACCTCGGTTTGCAATTCCTCCTATTTCTTAGGGAGGAGGGATGCTTGCCTAACCCTGAGCATGCACGTTTCATGAACAGAGGCCATGGAAACATACCAGACCACCTGTCATACCTTGTTTTGTTAAAGGGGATGTTTTTATCGTTTTAGACACAGGGATGAACTTAAGGAAAATGTGTGTTTGATGATTATCTCCTCAGAGTCAGGGCCTTGACTGACTTATCTTGGGACCTGGATAGCCTGTGACATGCCAGGGTGGATGTTCATGTTGCCAAGAAAATTGTTGGTTTGGAACACCAGTGGACTAGCCTGACCACAGTAATCACATTATGTGAGTATACACTAAGGCATGTTGTAAATTAAAAAACAATTAATGATGTCTACCTGTTGTGTACACTGTGGTACTTCAGTATGCTATATACACTGTGCAATGATCTAATTAGGGTATTTCGGCTCTGTCATCCGAATCACTTATTTCTTCCTGGGATGACAACATTCAAATCCCTTCTTCCAGCTATTTGACCGATTTTCCGAGAGCACCGGAGGTCGAATGTAGGACTTCACACAAGTGCTCTTCCACTGAGCTACGTCTCCAACCCACGTTCTACTTTTCGTTTCAAAACAGGGACTCACTAAGTTGTCCAGGGCTGGCCATGACCTTACTCTATACCCCCAGGAAGCCTTGAACTTGTAGTCCTCCTGCGTCGGCCTCTGGAGTAGCTGGGGTCACAGTTCCACAGCACCCAGCTGGGCTCACCTATTTGATTTGTAGACTGTAGTGTTGCTAGGCAGACAGGCACAGCTGTGCAGTACTCCACAATGCTTTTTATCACTAGCTGCATCTTTGCACCGTTATCTTTTATAAAAAATATTTATTTTTTTGAGGTATGGTCTCACTGTGTATCCCTGGCTGGTCTGGAACTTGTTATATAGATCAGGCTGACCTTGGACTCACAGAGAGCCACCTGCCTCTGCTTTCCTCAGGGCTGGGGTGAAAGGCATGTGTCACCATGCCCCAAATATGTACCCAAAATCTTTATCTCATATTTTTTATTTAAACAATTCAGAATATAATATGAATGTCATTAGAATTTCCAAAGATTTACAAAAGAAGGTTTATAAAATATCTATGGAAGCCCTTGCTAGAATTTTCTGCTATCTACATTAGCCAATGAGCCTAATGTTTAGACTCAACTCAGTGGGTTCTTTTCCTAATTCTCATAGGCCAAAAGGTAAGCTGGGAAGTTCTGAGCCTTTTCTGCCCATGGCTGATGAATCACGATGGCAGCTGTCCCCACTTGCTTGCTAAAACCCTCATTTTGATCCCCTCATGGGAAGACTAACGTTCGATCACTCGCAGCCACTAAACCAGATGCCCCCCTCAGATTGGCGTGTGAGTCCTTGATAGACTCCAGGAATGCCGGAAAACCAGTTTCTCTGGAGTCTCCCGCTTCCATGGTCACTGCCCGGGCTCTAGCACCAAGATGCACGTGTGTGCAGAGCAGGTACTCATTACAGGCTTGCAGTCCGGCTAACTCACATGACATCCAGTTACTGGTGGTGAATCTGTTAGGAGCTATGGGTTACCAGTCTTACTTAACTCTGCACCAAAGCTGTGGCGCTGGCTGCCCTTTTCCCTTTCTAGGACATGTCAGGAGGAGCTCCATGGTGTGCATTTTGGGTCGCTGCTTCTGATAGTCTTTTTGTCTTTTTTCTTAAATTTCTTTTCATACAATATATTCTTTATCATGCTTCCCCTTCCCTTCAAGTCCTCCCAGATTCTCCCCACTTCCTTCCCTGACTTTATGTTCTTTCTCTCTTAACCCCCCTCTCAAAACACAAAAATGAAAAGTAAAACAAACAAAAGACAGTAAGACAAAAGATGCCAAACAAAATGAAAAGCACCCCCTGAAAAGAAACACGAGGTTCATTTTGTGTTGGTCAACTACTCCTGGGCATGGGGTCTGTCCTGGAGTGTGGCTGATACGCCCAGTGGCACACTCCATTGGAGAAACTGATTTCCCTTTTGTGATGGCTAATAGTGATTGTCGACCTGGTGGGATCCAGAATCACCGTGGAACAAGCCCCAGGGAATGTCTACAAGGGACTTTTAAAATTAGGTTAATCGAGGTAGGACCACCTACCTTACATATCAGAAACATTAGTGTATGAGCTGGAGTCTGGACTGCATAAAAAATAGAAAGCTAGCCAATCTCCCTCATTAATTTCTCCTGACTACAGACTGTGTGATCATCTGCCTTAAGCTCCTGCCATCATGACTTCCCCTCAAACTGTGAGCTGAACAAACCTTAAGTTGCTTTTCTCCAATGCTTGATCACAGTGACGAGAACATTGATGAATACACTGCTGTAGCCCAGCTGTTTTTCTGTTTTGTTTTTGCTTGTTTTTTTTTTAAGTGTGTACACGTGTGATCGTTGTTGCAACTGGGTGATGCTCACACGGGCTCCTAGTCTCTCCGTGTTCATATCCATAAATTCCCATCACAAAAATTGAGAAAGGACAGCATGAGTAAAGGTACCGTGCTCCAGACAGCCGGATGACAGTGCTCTTACCCCATCCGCCTTGTGCAGGTGAAGGAAGCTTCCTTGCAAGGATGTTGCTAGCATGTCGGAGGATGACAGGTTCTGCAGATCGGCCCCTCCATATGTGCCTCGTATTGTGTGATATCTACAGCATCAGATCATAAGGGTCACAGTCAATATCCATGCTCCAGGTAGTGCCACTGACCAGGAGAACAAGTCCTGGGGCAGACTAGCACCCTCAGACTTCACCTTCTCCCCTGCAGTGGCCAGTCTCAGCTGGAATTAGTCATCAACCACTCTGTGCCTTGCTGTTACATCTACCAAATGGGAATAAATTGTAGCACCTATCTCAGAGGTGTTGGCAGGGCTAACCAAATGATACGCAAAGCCCAGGGCTTGGTTTAGAGCCAGGTGTTAACAGGTAACGCCCCCTGACCCAGGGAGGGTGGCTAGGGACATCCTAGGACAGGAAGGATCACGTCGTTTCTCTGCACTGATGCCAGTCACACAACATGGAAAATAAGGAAAATGATACTCACTTTATCAGGGCTGGCATATTGTTCCGTGACAACCAGAAGGTTCTCTCATTCTTGTCCATGTCCCCAATGGCTTGCCGGGAAGGCACAAGGACAGTGAGATTCGGGGTGGCAGACAGCATGGATTGCAGGGAAGCATCCTGAATCACAGGAGGAAAGAAAGTCACCCAAACAGTGTTAGAGACTAGCTAGGCTGGCTTAAGCGGTCAGAGATGATGGCTTTCCATGTGATGTAATTCTAGAGGGAGAGAGTGCTGGGAAGACACTAGGCTTTCCCTCCCCAAGTCCACCCAGCCATTGACTGATGACTTACATTCTTTTCTGTAAAGAAAAAAGAGACTCTTTTTTCTTTTTTAATGTGTGGATTTCAATTAACGGTATAGATTTTCCTGATTGGGTCATACTTTGTCATCGTAAGTCTGAATGAAAAGCCAGTTAAATAGCCTTGATTTGTATGTATGTGTGTTGTGTCTGTGCGTGCATGCACACAAAGGACTACCTGAGTTCTTTGATGTTTTTAGAGTGAGCGTTTGAGGAGAGTAGGGAGAATGAGGGCCTGGGTCAAACTTAACTGCGGCTCATTCATGCCCCAAAAGTCTACTGCTGTGTTCAACCATTGTATGAAAAAATAATCAATCAAAAATGAAAACCAACTCCAAACACGAAATCTTGGTTTAGAGAACTTGCTGGGATACTCATGCTGGAACTGACGCGAAGCATCTAACACTACAGCATTAAATCAGGTTGGGGAAGTGTGTCCTGTCCGACCTGCTCCTGGGCTGGCATCGCGTGTGGGGCGACACCGTTGTGTATGTGTGGCGGGAGGGAAGCCAACCTGCTCGGAGAGGGACCAGTCCCTTGACTGCCTACAGGGAGAGGTGTAAGAGAGCCTCCACTGTAGAAACAAGTGGTCCCTGGAATGTTCTGGAATGGATGGGGAGCTGTTCTCTGAGGGAGGGCTGGCTAAGCAAGACCTATTTTGATACAAACTTATTTAAAGAGACAAACAATCTGTCAGGATGTCTAGACTGGAGCAGGGTGAGCCTGGACTCTTTATACAAATACTCTAGTGGGGTGAAGAGTAAGCTCTCCCAGCATGTTGAGCAGAGAGCATGTTAGCTGTAGGTCTAAACCTTGGTGCGCTAGGGCATGAAGCGTGTTATGCTTTCAAAGAGAGAACTATGGTGGGTAGTGCCATCCTTATGTATTTGAACTGTGTGCAACTCAGCTGCCCCAGCTTAACCTGGGCCATCACTTCCCAGCTTGGCTATACATGTTAGCACCAGTGTCCAGGCCAAGCCGCTGACTTATCAGAACAGAGTCTCCCAGCGTGCGGTGCCCCATGATTCTAAAGTGCAGGCAAGGTGGGAGCTGCTTTTCAGCACCCCCTCATTTCCTACCGCACAAACTCCAGTCCTCTAAAACGATTTATGTTGCCGATGTGAAGGTGCAAATGCAGGGACTCACGATTATCCACTGGTAAAACACAGCTGCTTCAGAGAGACGTGACAGTTCCTTATTCATGCGTTCGAGGGAGGGCAGGAGAGGGGGAGAGAACACAGAAACATCATCTCAGGGAGGTTCCGGACAGCCTGCCCCCGCCCTCGTGAGCTGTGCTCTCTGTGGAGCCAGGCTTCCCAGGCTGCCGTGAGAGCAAGAGCTGCAGGCGCCTTCACACTCGGGCCTGACTGTCCTCCAGAGGTAGGTGTGTCCAACCTTTGGACACGACGGAGCAACGTTGCTATCTACAAGGTTCACACTTGAAAACCGCATAACAGAGAGTAAATACAAAGAAAAAAAATGCAAAACAGATCTGATAATGTTTTCTATAAATTTTATAAATTTTGGATTATAGCTATCTTGGGGTGCACAGGCCTGTGGTCTACAGTTTGGACATTGCCTGTTAGACTGAGGCAAGTTTAGCTTTTCCAGTGTAAGTTCTTTCACATCAGAATTTAGCTGGTAAGAAACAGCTACCTAGACCCCAGGGAGATCTCCTGAGCTCAGGAGACAGCGCCCACTCAGAGCCAGTGTGGAGCTGAAGACTGGGGCGTGGGGTTACCGTGCCTGGACTCTCACTGTGACTTTGCCACGGCCTGCAGACAGCTTCTTTGGAGGGGTCTGAGCAAAGGCCTGGGTGAAGGTAAGGGATTTGGTGGGGAATTGGAACTGCTGGAGGGTTTGGGGACATGGACAGCAGAGGGGGGAGTCCAAACTCCAGGTGTGGTTTAGGGGCAGCTTCTTGATGAAGGAATGCCAATGAAAGGCAAAGGATGGAACCTTCCTGAACATCGCAGGGGTGAGTGTGTGTGTGTGGGGGGAGAGGTGCCATAGGAGCCTGGGAACCAGCTCTGGAGTGGCTTTTGTTTGGGAGGTTATAGGTCCTAGGGAATTTCTGGAAGGAAGGTTTCAGAGAAGAGGAACAAGAACCCGACTGAATGAGAAAAACAAACGGTGAGGGAAAAAATGTTAACAAACCAGGACAAACTACTAACTGAGGGGCCTATTGACATATCAAAGCCGACATGACCACAAACAAGGTCTGCCAGCATCCCTCAGGCCCCACCTGTTACAGGGTCCTTCTGACTGTCATACCCTGCCCCCACTCTGAACTCTCCAGCCCAGTGGTTGGGCTGCCATTCCCCCAGAGGCTCTTCCCTATGGAATCGGCCATTTTGGCCATGCGGTCCTTTCGGACCGTCTACCTCTAGACCCAGGCCACCCCTCTTGGTCCGTGGCTCTGCTCTCACTGCCCTCTCCTCACATGGCCTGGCTCAGTCCGGGCTCTCCCAGGCGTCTGCCTCTGGTTCTGCTTTTCCTTTTATCTACCACACACCACACCTAGGAGCAGTCATGTCCTCCTTTTTATTTCTTTTTCATTTATCTGGTGTCGAAACCCAGGATTTTGATAACTGACAGAAATAAACTTCTCCTCACTTGAGATTTATAGTGCAGGGTGGGGTGGGGCGGATGGAGAGCTAGTGACTGTTTAGTGTGACCCATACTGCATGGGTAGAACATGCTATACTGTTGATTAAATGTTGAGCCTGGAACTTAGACAGATACCAACATTTCAGGCAAGTAAGTGTGCTTAGCCTTAGTTTATGGACCTGGGGAATGGGCATCATAATGGCATTAATCCCAGATAGCTGTTGTGAGGTTTAAATGAGAAGCTGCTGCCTAAAGGACCCAGTAAGACACCTGGTACATAGAGGGCACTTGTGTGCGCACACACACACACACACACACACATACTCCACCCTCCACCTCATTCAGGATGGATAAACCCAGGGTGTTCTGGGTACCCATGGGAGTCATAAGACCCAATGGAGAGCAGCCCAGCAGAGGGGGGGGCAGCAGCTCACTTGGGAAGTTTGTGAGACAGATTGGCAAGCAAAAGTCGTCAAGTCTGCTCTGTATGCCGAAAGTGCCAAATATAAGCTGCTGCAGCCTGTGCAAACGAGTGACCCCCCCAAACATGTGAGGTGTCTGGAAAAATCATGTGAGTGTAGAACCTCCCGGACAAAGAGTCCACAGAGGAAACCCGTCTCAGGCTCATTCGGCTGCTGTGTGCCCTCTCTGACTTTGCACATGACGGTCTCACTAGGGACTTACCATGAGCACATTTCCGTAGCACAGCAGGCCATTCCCTTCATAGCCCTCTTGACAAACGCAGCTCCAAACGCCAGAGGCATCGGCTTGACAGGTGGCCTGAGAGAAGCCAATGGACAACAGGACTTGCTTTCCTGACTATGATGTTAGAACCCCACTCTTACCTACGGTTGGCCCTAAGATAAGAACTCCACATAAGACCTGGGAGTTGCGTGGCAGGGCACTTGCCTCGTGAGTGCTCAGCCCCGTGTTTGATCCCCACTTCTACAGGGAAAACAACAATAAAACCCCTGCAAACTCAGGGCTGAAAGATGGTAGTAGCAACCCTTAAGCCCTTCAGTGTTGCCACAGGATGCTCTTGCCTGCTGCTTTTACTCACAACCAATTTCCTTCTTTTCATCTCTGCCAGATTTAGCAAATGAAAAACCCAAGAGAGTTATATTTGATTTTCGGACAGATGATGAATATATTTTAGAATAAACTCATCTCGTGCAGTATTTTGGGTTCAAAGAGCTGTTGCCCGAAACTTACTCTCTGAATTTTAACTCAGCTGCTGCCTAGCACCTTGTCTGGCAACCCAGGCTGTTTCTTCCAAGCTTTGAAACAGAGTGGTGGTGATTGCACTAGCTGCTCAAATTCTGCTTAGGGATGCCCTTTGGAGGTGAGAGATTTTCTTCATGGCTAGGCACAGACAAGGCAGAGCTGTTAGGGTTTGGATATGAAGAGTCCTCCCAAAAGAATACTGTGTTAATGGCTTGGCCCCTTATGCAGTGTGTGCAGAGGTGCTGTGAGATAGTGACCTTGTACACTACAGAGATTTGTCACTCGTATTGGTTTAATAAAACGCCGACTGACAAGCAGCCCGACAGGAAGTATAGGTGGGGCAATGAGACTAAGAAAATTCTGGGAAGAGGAAAGGCAGAGATGCAGTCATCTATAGATGCAGAGGAAGCAAGGTGAGAGTGCCTTACTGAGAGAAGATACCAAGCCACATGACTAAACTTAGACAAGAATTATGGGTTAATTTAAGTTGCAAGAGCTTGTTAATAATAAACCTGAGCTAATAGGCCAAACAGTTTATACTTAGTATAAGCCTCTGTGTGTTTTTTTGGGGACTGAATGGCTGCAGGACTGGGCAGGACATAAACTTCCGTCTACACAGAGATGGGGCTTGGAGAAGTGACCCAATCGTTAGGACTTTGATTTCATCAATGGATGACTTCATTGGTGGGTTCAAAATTTAATGACATTATTGGGAAGTGGTCAACACTTCTACAGGTCGGGCCTGGTTGGAGGAAGTAGGTCACTAGGGACATGCCTATGGAGTCATGCTTTGTTTCCAACTACTTCCTCTCTGACTCCTGTTCACCACAGAGTGAGGTACTTTGATCACTCCCGACTCCTAACTCAATGCTCTGCCTCACCACACACGGCCCAGAGGCCATGCAGCCAGGTGACCACTCACTGAAACCTCTGAAACCAGGAGCCAAACCTTCTTCAAATTGACTGCTCAGGTGTCTTATGTTCACTACAAGAAGCAGCCACACAACCCGATTTTTGTTCTTAAGAGTTTTCTGTATGTTTAGAACTGAAGGAAACATCACGTAACTCACCAGGGGGTGACATTTCTCTGCCTGTTCCAAGCATGAAATGACTGACTCACAATCAATCCCATTTCCTCGGAATCCTTTCTTGCACTCACATTCATTCTGTAATTCCAGGAACACAGAAGGGATTACTGAAGCAAGCACTCTCTAGCCTTGCGCCCCGCTACACCAAAAAGCAGACCATGGAAACCACAGCCATTCAACCCTCCTGAAGAACAGAGACTAGATTTCAGACTGCTAGTCACTGTACATAGCCAGCTGCCTTTGATCACTACATTATTGGTTACCATTAGCATTACGATGCCCAATCACAGTCCTTTTTACTTTCTCTTAAAATCTTTGACTTCACAAAGGCCTATAAAGAGAGCTGAGACTCAATGGTTATCACAATAGAAAAGCCGACCCTGTTCCTAGAAAGAAAGGTTAAGCAAGCTGTGGCTTATCGGCTTGGTGGAGATCCAGGGACAAAGCTATTGCCAGCTTGACCTCATTCTGCTTAATTCAAATAATGCCTTCCCATTGTGTATATGGATTCAGGGCATCGCTTCTGCATGGACAACCCACAGCACATAGCCCAGCAGCTGGTGTAACTTCATGTAGCTAGTCAATGCCTCTCCTTCTTCAGGGCTTAGTCCCCTGCTACAGGAGGCAGGGTGCAGCCTGTATTCCAGCCCTCACTTGCCCCGTGGGGAGAATCAATAGCTAACCGATAAAGTATAGCAATGGCAGCGACATAGTAAGAGGAGACCATTTTCACGTCCGTGGCAGACAATGAACGGATGAAGCTGCAGTCGATTACTACAGTGTAAGGAAAGAAACTAACAACCTGAGCAAAGAAAAGGCCAGAAGGAAACCCGGAACATCAGCTTGTAATGAATTTCCCATCTTATCTCCCCAGCTGTTTCCAACGAAAATGCAATATCCTGACATTTCAAACACGATTTTAAAAGAATTTCTTCAATTGAGTTAAACAACACAGCTGCTTTGTTTAAATGTTAAGACAGCTGTTTTGGGGTTATCGTGGAACCAACAGCAAATCTAGAGAAAGACAGAAGTGCATTAAAAGATAAACGAGAAGGGTCTGACCTTAACAAACCGAAAAAGAAGGGACACAGGTTTTATGGAGTCCCTGGCTGCTAAGGCTTCTGGGACTAGACTACTGTTCAGAGGGGGTAGGCAGGCTTAGAATGGAATCTGAGGATGCTCTTTTAGAAGTGGGACCCTGTGGATAGAGACTATTGTTCAGAGGGGGTGGGTGGGCTTAGAATGGTCTCTGAGGACGCTCTTTTAGAAGTGGGACCCTGCCGGACCTTGAGGGAGGACAAGCGAGCAGAGGGGGCATTCAAACTGAGGAAAGCTGTCAAGAAAGCGGAAGAGACGTAAGGAAGTTTGACTGACTGGAGAAGGGCTGTTTAGGGTGGGTGTTGGAAGCATATACACACCCCAGTGGGGGCCGACACAAGATCTTTCAGCTGGAGGAAGAAGTGAACAAAACTTCCATCGTATGAATTTTGTTTTCAACAGTGTCACCTGCTCTGTGAGCTTTTTAAGGCAAGCGTGTCTGTTATATATATATGGGGGAGAGTGTGTGTGCATGGGTGTGTGTGTAAGTATGGGGGAAAGTGTGTGTGTATGTGTATGGTGGAGAGTTTGTATGCGTGTGTGTATGTGTGTGTACGTGTGTGCGAGAGAGAGAGAGACAGAGAGAGAGAGACAGAGAGAGACAGAGACAGAGACGACAGAGAGAGAAAGAGCGCAAGAGAGCACACATATATCCTGCATATCCTGGTTCTTCCTTCTGGGTCTTGTGTTCTCTTGACCTAATGGAGCCTAAACTGGTTTTTGGGGGAAGGAGGGCAGGCGGAATGGACGGGAAGTGGGTACCTGTCATCTCCATTCCTACAATCTTAACTTAGTTAGTATCTTTCCCCCTGTAACTCCCTAATTAATTCCCAGGCAGTAGCCTCTGCCTCCTTTCATGAAAAATGAAACCACCTAAAATTGGTAGCAAGCTCTAGAGTGTTCTAGATACACACATGAGGTCCCTGGGGGTTGACTGAGACAGCTCTGCTTTCTGACTCAGCCTAAGTCACAGCGAGCCGGATTTGCTGTGCTGCAGAGCAAAGTCACTAACCTCCCAGTGTCTCAGCGCCTCTGCTGTATGATGTCACAATGACGCCGATGTCACAGACCCATCATGATAATGCACCCATTCTCCCGACCACAAATGGGGGCAAAAGTCATAGGAACGTCAGAACAAAGTACCTCTATGGTTGTGACAAAGACAAGTCACAACAGGAATTCTGTTTCCCCCTCTTTTCTTTCTCCCCCAAGTTACCTACCTGCCCGGGGCCTACATATAAACAGGTGGCATTGTCATGGCAGCCGCCTCTGCCAGGCAGCAGACAGTTGTTGATCACCACACAGTCTCTTCCGTCCCCTGTCCAGCCCTGCTGGCACACACAGACATGTGCCCCTGTGCCCGTTCGGATGCATTCCGCCTGCAGGAAGAACAGAGGCAAGACCTTTGAAACCATAGTCTCCCTTCACAGGGTCCAGTGTCGGAAAGGATCTGGAAGAATGTTCTAGAAGCCTGTATATTTGCCTGGAGTGCAATGGAAATGATGGCGACGCTTATTCACACAAATGTAATAAACGAACTGGGTGATTTTAAGGGGAAGATGCTTGGATCTGGTCAGCTAAGGGCTACACCAATCACTGCCTTGTGTTACTGATCCAGCCAGAGACAGCTTTTATTGATTTACAGAAGCAAAGAATCCTCTAGAGCAGTGGTTCTCAACCTTTCTAATGCTGGGACCCATTAACAGTGCCCCATGTCATGGTAACTCCCAGCCATAAAATTATTTTCCTTGCTTCTTCATAACCGCAAGTTTGCCACTGCTATGAATTGTAAATATCTGATATGCGACCCCTGTGAAAAGGCCATTTAACCCCAAGTGGGTCATGACTCATGTGTTGAGAACCATTGCTCTGGAGGACGACACTGTGATTATCTCTATTTTACAGATGGGGAAACAGGTCACCAGCGTCACCCAGCTACAGAGAGAAGCACGAATCTAGGGCTCCATGACACTAGGGTCCAAGATCCTCTAAGCCATACTACAACTCTTGATCTAGGGTTGGGATGGGCAACATTGTCAACTCGCCAGCATCTAGATTCACATAGGAGAATCATCTCGGTGTGTCTGCCAGGGAGTTTCTAGATTAGGTTAACTGAGATGACAAGACCCACCCTGATCGTGGCTGGAACCACACGTCCGTATAAAACCCAACAGGCTTTGGCAGCTGTCACTGTCTTTCACTATCTAAGGGAGCATAGCAGGTTATTTTTTCCCTTAAATGTCCTTCATCTCCACAGAGTGACTTTATTCAGTGGTTTCTTGCTGTGTTACTTGTAGAAAGCAAACAATACGAAAGGAAGCAAAAGCCAGGGCTCTGGGCTCTGAGAAACGGCACTCACGTTTGGACTACAGCCTCCTCTGGAGGTTGATCCCACGCAAGGGTCCTTCTTAGAACAGAGGGTTCCGTCCCCTTCATATCCCTCGTTGCAGACACAACTGTGAAGGACAGAATGCGCACAGTCAACCCAGGATACTCAGTGATGGCCACGCAGGTACATGCAGCCAGCTAGGGAGGAGCCCGATGTGCCGGGGATCATAGTGGTTAGCTCTGTGCAGGGAGCCTGGGCGCAAGCACGGTTGGATGATTTGGGGGTCTCCAGTCAGGACTCTACCTTAGCCACTGTGTGGCCTGCCTGAGCCTCTTCATGACGGGGACACTATCTTCTCATTTGGAAAATGGCACCGATACTTGCGGGGAGCTCATCGGAGTTCACTGGCACCATCGGGTGCAGTGGTGGCAGCTGGCCTGCTCTGACCAGACCTGAACTGCATTGTTTATAACCCGTTCCATGATAGTTTTTTGCCTGTGGCTCAGGTCTGAAGATACTTGGACGTGTTAACAGGTGAGACCCCTCTCCCCTTCTCTGGTCCTTCATATAATACACCCAGACAGACAGATGGACGGGCACACACTCATGTGTACCTCCTGTGATATGACCATTTCTGGTCTCATTCTGCTTTCAGACATCCCTTCCAAAATACTCTATCATAATACTTCTGCTGTATAATGTGGGTCATTTGCTCATCCATTCGTTGGTCTGATCAAGTCTATTGAACGCCCTGTGATAGAGGCCGGGACACCACGTGGCTTCCCTCAAACCTTCATGTCCCCCTGAAACTTTGGCAACACGTGCTTAAAAAACTATAGACTGGGGGAGGGGGAGGGAAAAGGGAGGCGAGGAGGAGGTGAAAATTTTTAATAAATACATAAATAAAAGAACATTTATAAACAAACAAAAATAAAGTTCTACTTTCCTCAAAAACAAACAAACAAACAAAAAAAAACTATAGACTGTTTATCCAGGACCAAGTTTCCTGGAGGAAGTGATTTGTCTGGCATCCACACACAGAGAGAGTTTGATTTGTTCCAACACAGGTCTCTGCACTGCCTGAGGTCATGCAGAACACACAGACAGCCTACTGTGGGTGGGCTGGTATACTCACAGGTGATTTTAGGCATACACACTAACATAATTCCCAGTTCCTGAGGCAGACACATTATGTAACCACAGGAAAGACACAAAGGTGACAGTCCCCCGAAACAAGAAAGTAATTATTCAAATACAACTTAAGAAACCATGCCAGAACAGGGCTAGGATTCCAGACATCCTCTGTATCCTCCGGGGTACTGGAGGTGGTTATTGCCTCTGAACCAGAGGAGAGCAAGCTTTCCGAGGGCATTCGCTAGTCTGCAAAGCTACTCTAGCTCTTACATAGTAAGGAAATGAACGGCAATCCCTTCCACCGTTCGACTTCATGCTGGATGCCCTTCACAGGGGAGTTGCTCTTGACACCCTTTGGAAGTAAAGATGTCTTCAAAGCATGGACAATTTATTGCTTCCTTCTGTGATGGTTTAACATTGACCGACAGTTTGATCAAACATAGAATCGCCCGCCTATGAGACAGACCTCCAGGCATGCCTGTGAGAGACTGTCTAGCTTAGGTTAGTCTCTGGGCACACATGTGAGGGACATGCATATTTGGTCAATTGGCTAGGAAGTCCTACTTGAATATGGGCAGCATCATTTCACGGCCTGGGAGCCAGGACTAAATAAAGAGAAAACAAACTGAGCACACATGCTCATCTCTCCCCTTCCTGACCGCAGATGCCATGTGACCAAGTGCTTCAAGCTCCCGCCACCATGGTGTCCCTGCCAAGATGGACGGGACCTTGAAACTGTGAGCCAAAATAAACTCTCTGCCCTAAAGTTGCCTTTGTTGGGGCATTTTGTCTCAGGAGTCACACAGAAAATGCTTCCTTCTTCCTCCTCTTCCTTATTTTCCTTTTTATGATTTATTTGTGTGTGTGTGTGCGTGCACATGTTCTCACACACACATGCAACGTGCATGACGCACCCCTAGTGGCCAAAAGATGGTGGTGGGTCCCTTGGAGCTGTAGTTGCAGGCATGGGTGTTGGGAACACAACTCGGCTCCTCGGGAGGAGCAGCGACTGCTCTTACCTGCCGAACCTCCTCTCTAACCATCCCTTTTCGGATTTTTAAACCAAGGTTTTGCTGTAGCCCTGGTTGGCCTGGCACTTGCAGCAATCCCCGAGTGCAGAAATTGTAATATGTACACCTGTGACCTTCATTGTTTTCTTAAATGTGCTCATAATAAGGACAGATCCAGGCCGGGACACCACGCTTTTACATTTGATTCTTTTAACCGCTGCCACTGTTATTAGGCAGGGTTCACCACAACAATGAGAAGAGTAAAGCTCAGAGAGGTAAACTAACTTGCCGAAGGTCACACAGCTGGTGCATTTCAAAGCAAGGGAAAGCTAAAAGCTGGATTCCGCTCAGTCTTAGCTCTCACAAGAGCCGGGCAGAGCGTGCCTGACTTTATCAAGCGCCAGGTCCGGGCTGGCTCCACCTACAGGTGGCGCAGTGGCCTTGCGTGCCAGACGGCCTTCCTTCCCCACGCCTACCTGGCTGTCCCGTCGCTGTATTCACAGGTGGCATGGATGTGACAGAGCTGTACATAGGGCCCGCAGGCTGAGGGCTTCTTGTCGCAGAACCTCCCGGAAGTGCCCTCTCGGCATGTTCCCGAAAGGCAGGCTCCATCGCTGTCTATACGGTTATCACACGCTCCGTGGACACACAGGCAGGCTGCAGAAGGCGACAGGCTGTTCAGGGCTTGGAGGGCCATTTCCCGTTGGAACACAGTACTGTGGAGGGTGGGGACTGTCTCTGCCCCCACCCAGGGCTGTCGAATCAGAGCTGGGTCAAACTCAGGATCATCAGAATTTCTCAGAGGACCAGGGGCAGCCTTGGAGAGCTGACTGCCCCCCCCCCACACACCCAGGAGGCGAATATATTGGTTCCCAGTGTGCCCTCTGTATATCTATCTGTGTGTGGGCATGGAGGAGAAGGTGGTTCGTGATGTGGCGAAAAGAGCCTAGGAACCCAATTTCCAACTATTTTGTGGTTGGAGATGCTAGCTGAGGAGTTTCTCACTTTTTGAAAACATCCGAGAATAGCAAGATTTCTTCTGTTTGTAGAACTCCAGATGGGATCAGGTGTTCATTCTGCACTTGGAATCACAGCAAACCTAGTGATAATTAGTGGCCGGGATCTGGGCCCGACTTCATTTGAGGTCCTGGGCTGGCTTCTTGCCATCTCACTAACCGCCCTCGGTGTCACAGCGTAAGTTCTGTGTTTTAGATGCAGAGGCAGAGGCCCAGAGAGCAGAAACCACGCAATTGGTCTGCGAGTTCCCATGCGGGGACCCGACCCTGTGCCGTCCAGGTCCCTGACTACAGTGCCTGCACACACAGTGGGACACAGTATCAAGCAGAATTCCCACAGCTCTGCTGCCACCTTAAACTCCAGCTATTTACTTCGGTTTTCAATATTCATATGTGAAGTTCTCAAAGTGGGGGCTTAGTTCAATCAGAAAAAATGCTTGCTGCACAAGGGTGAGGACCCAGGTTCTATCCACGGGACCTAGGCATGGTGACAGGTGCTTGTAATTCAAGTGCTGGGGAGGCAGAGACAGGTGGGTCTCTGAGATCACCGGCTGATGAGAAACCCTGTCTCAGAAAACAAGCTGTTAGGTCCCTGAGGAAAGACACCCAAGGGTGACTTCTGGCCTCCACATGTATATGTACATGTATGTTTCCATGCACACATACCTACACAAGCATGTATATGCACATATATGTGCATGTGCAAGCACACACACACACACACACACACACACACACACACACACACTGCAAGCAAAAAACAAAAACAGAATAGTAAGAGGTCACAACAGTAGCCAACATGTTTTCAGTATGTACGATGTGCTAGGAGTGTCCTCGGGAGAGCTTTCCGCATGTAAGTTGCGGTGAATTTATACAATGCTTATCAGTGCCTCCGCCTTTATTTCATTTGCTATTTGAGGGTGCGCTCATCCAAAGTCACGATTCTAAAATGGAGGCACTGATGGGTAAGGAAGATTTGAGAGGGAGCAGATCTATTTCTCGAAATAGACTCTATTTACGTCTTCATGAACACAGAAAGTGCTTTCTAAAGTGCAGTGGCCGGATCAGCACTGCCAGTAGCCCGCTCCCCACCCCTGAAAGCTGTTAAAAGTGCATTTTCTCCGACTCATCCCAGAGAGAATCAGAAACTCAGCCCCACGCGCCCATCTGTCTGGTGCATGCTATAGTTTGGGAAGCATCACTTAATAAACCCACTCTGGGATGATGATGACCACAAACGGAATCCACAAGACAGCAGACCACATCATCAGCATCCTCGGGATGAGCGCGAACCCACAGACAGGAGCTCTAGAAGCCCCACTTACTTCTGTTACACCGAGGTCCGTATCTGTTGGGGTCGGAGCAGAACTGACACCTGGAGCCTTGGAAGCCATCCTCACAGATGCAGGTCCCGTTGCCGCTGAGGCCGTCTATGCACTGAGAGCAAAGGCAGCCCCGTGGGCTATTAGGGACACATGTGGCAGCGAAGGAGAAGCAGATGCTTTTGCTTCGTGGCTTGAACTTGAACTCAGGCTCGGTCCCACCAGAAGCGACTTCCCTCCCACTCCTTGCAGGGGGCGGAGTCATCTTGCTATCCCGTAGGATGTAAAAATAGCACCCAGCTTGGGGATCCTGATCTAGGATTTAGAACCATAAGGGACAAGGTGCAAGGGTGTGCTGTTTCTTCTGAACTGAAACATTCTGCAAGGAGCGAGGCTCAGCACTGGGAAGATTAGCTAAACCTAAACGGCTCAGGAAGCTCACAAGACACGAGAACCAAAAAGCCTAAACGATTCTGACCCACAGGGAGCTTCGGGGAGCTTAGGTGAGCAAGGAACACTGGCTGAGGCCAGAGACTCTTCAGTGGGGTCGGAGAGATGGGCAGGCAGGTCCACTGTGGACGCAGCTTTCTCTAGTTACCACTAGGGCTGGGGTGGGCCCTTGCAGTGATGTGGCTGCTCAAGCCACCCTTGCTTCTGGATGTAAGCCCAGTGAACTCGCTGGTTCGTTAAGATGGACTTGGATGACTTTTGTTTCTCCCCAGTACTCTCTCTGGGGTGAATGGAACTGTTCATGTCTCCTCAGAATGAGCCATATCACAAAAGTGAGACCCTTCACTCAACGCTGAGGGGGTGGCAGCAGGCAGAGGCCTTCAGACGAGGTCCGCCTCTGTTCTCTCTACATCCTTGCTTGCTCAGTGTGTTTTCTCCATTGTAAATCTCACTTGCTCGCCTACTGTTTTGGTTTGAAGGAAAATGGTCCCCAAAGAGAGTGGCACTATTAAGAGGTGTGGCCTTGTTGGAGGAAGTGTGTCACTGTGGGGGCGGGCTTTGAGGTCTCCTTTGCTCTAGCTTCCTTCAGTTGACTTCCTGCTGCCTCTGAGTCAAGATGTGGGACTCTCAGCTCCAGCACCACATCTGCCTGCATGCCATCATGTTCCCTGCCGTAGTGATAATGGACTGAGCCTCCAAAACTGTAAGAGAGCCACCCCAATGAAAAGTTTTCCATATAAGAGTCGCTGTGGTCATGGTGTCTGTTCATAGCGATAAAAACCTAACTATGACACCTACCTGCCCAGCCCTGGCATGACCATGTTGATATTGGTTACCGCACATCAGAGTTGGGTGTGGGCTACCTTCCCATAACCACCAGGCAGGTACTGCTGCTCTCTTCCCTCCCATTTCCTGTGTGAGGCACCCCGCCCCCCACTTGTCTTTCCATTTGCAAGAGCAGTGGTTTAGATGTGGATCTATGAGAGTCCCAGATCTATAGTTTTCCTGCATGAATTTGCCATCCCTCTCTGATCTTGACCTCCAAATAGACAAGGCAAACTTTGGCTTTTACATCTCACTAGGTTTGGAAGTTGGGTTTGAAACACAGCAACAAAGTGACCGTTGGCCAACACTATTGTTATTTTGAAGTATCACGAAAACCTTTGACATAGGATCTTCCACGGGCTTGGAAAGCGACGTTCAGAGAGTTTTGAGTTGTCCATGATCTCATGGGGAACTTTAGGGAGGCAGAGATTAAGCAACATTTTCCCTCCTTCCTTCCCTCTCCGGTCCCAGACTCCTGTGCTACCAGGTACCTCCTGTTTCAGCAGCAGCTCCAATTCTCTTGATTCCTGGGAACGCTGGCCAGCACTGCCACCTTTTGTCTTAGGAGTTTTCACCATGACCGCATGACTCCAGAAAGGTCAGCACACATGAAACAGTGTGAACCAGGGACTGTACTCACCTGCCCATTTCCAGAACATGGATTCAAGAAGCCTCCCGGACATGGGTTGCAGTCAGGCCCAAAGAAGCCACTACAGCATTTTGGTATCTGGAACACACAACACACACACTGCCCTTGGGGACCCCAAGGAGGGCACACATTTCTCCAAAGAGAGGTGTTTTGATTTCCACTCCTGGGATACAATGCCAAACCCTTCTTAGGAACTCGCTAGGGCTTTACCACCAGCGTGCTGAATGTCTCTCATACGAACAGGAGAAGGAGGCAGACGAAGGCTCATGCTTATGGAGAACATGCGACAGGAGGGAAGAGTCAACATGGGAGAGGAAACAGAGAAATAACGGGGCTGGAGAACCTTTCAGTGCCTGAGCGCTTGCCTGCCTAGCTTTGCAAGGCCCCAGGTTTGATTTCATAAACACACGAACAAGCAGGGAATAAAAGAACATTCCTGGGGACGGTACGTGCTAGGAAGATAGGTGTTGGGAGGGAGTGGTGGCATGCAGAGGCGGTTGGCAGGCCTGCTGGGTCATGACAGGAGGACTTAGGTAGAGAGAGACCAGGAAGATGAGTCAGTCCCTGTGTTTCTGGACGGACATTCCGAAGAGAATACCAAATACACATGGTCAGGGACTTGGGTGGAAGGTGGCGCACAGGTAGGGGTCAGGGGCATGGACTCTATGTTATGGGGACTCAAGACGCGATTCAGGGAGGTAGCGACCCCACCACACTACCATGCTTGCTTTCTGATTACCATTCAGGAAAATATCCTACATTCCCGCAGGTCATTTGTGACCGTGCAGACCCCAGAGCACGGGGGCATGGCTTGGAGCTTCCCAAGTCCTAGTGTCCTGGGCGGAGCCCTGGCTGTCCCCTCCTCACCTTCATGGTGGCATTGCAGTACTGGGCACAGCCACTCTTCAGGTTCCCCGTCCTGCTTTTGTAGACACAGTTGCGTGTGAAGAGGACCTGGGAGGAAGCCAGAGGGCAAGAACGCTGCTGTGTGCATCCTGGCATGCCCTGGCCGTCACACAGCCTCTTCCTGTGTCTGCTCTGTAGTGCCACTGGTACCAGAGCAAGGCCACACCAGCACACCAAGTCCAAATCAGACCGCCACATTCACGAGGCCTCTCTCTTTGAACAATCCATGGCACAAGGGTCTTTTCACCTCCTCTCGTGTTATGGCAGGCATCTCTAATTGATCACTGAACACTCTGATTTATCCAGCACGTGGTCTGGCTTCTCCCTCTGCTCTACAGCCAACCGTAAGCTCACGTGGGCATTCTGGAGCCAGGAAGTATTGATCTCTTCTATGTGGAAAAAAAAAATCCACCAACTGAAAAATATATTAGCAGCTTGAGACTTACTCTTAGATTTGGGGGTTGGTTAAATACATCCTTCCATTTGTAAATCTTTGATGCTAACTCCCATTTTTAAGGGCTCACAATAGGCTAGACACAGTGCATATGGCTCATCAGCTAGCCAATTCATGTGAATGTTTTTCATGTTTCTTTTTTAAGATACATAGAAATCGAGGAGCAGATAGATAGACTATGCGGCTTTCCCCTGCTAGCCCTGCTATAATATGGTCCAGAGACTAAGTCTCACAACACTGTCTTCAGTATCACATGGTCTCTGTGAGTCTCAGCTGTCCCAACTGGCATGGGACAATGATGCTGATACCAAATCTCCCCCTAAGATTTAACTCTCAGCTCCAATTTTGTATTAGTTACATCTTTGTGTTGTTTATTCGCCGGTCTTAGGCTCTGCCGAAGAATGGATCTTGCCAGGGCCACAAGATCCTAAAATCTTATCTACATAAATGCATCCTGAGATCACAAGGGAAGAAATACTTTAGGTAATGAACCAGGGTGGATCAAGGCCATCTCAGGAGTTTTTATGGTTCTTGTCAATTTCTTTTTCTCTCCCCTCCCCCACTGCTTTAGTTTGAGGCTAGCTAAATGGTGTCAGATGCACAGAGTCCTGATCCTACCACAGGCTGTCAGCTCTGTGTCCTCACCTTGATGACGTATGTCCTTCCTAGTTTGATGGTTGATATTAAAGCCACAGGATCTAGCATCACCCAGAAGACACACCCCTGGGCGTCCCTGGGAGGGAACATCTAGATAAACTTAACCGAGTTGGGAAGACACATTCTGAGTGGGGCAACACCAGTCCATGTATCAGGGCCCCAGACTCCTCAACAAGGAGGAAGCTAGCATGCTATGCTCTCCCTTCCGTGGGGAACTGTGTCCTCTTGAGATGTGAGCCGAAACGACTTGCCAGTAACTTTATCCCAGCAACTGAAGAAGTAACGAATCCTCTAGGGTTGCCGCATAGAGCGGGTACGAAAATGTCTGTCATCCAGCTGTTACTGCGGTACCAACGTGTTTCTCCTCCTGTTTCCTGGCTAACAGTTTCCCGAAGGACTTGTGGGAAACGGCTTCATTGAGCACAACAAACACTTGAGCACCCATGCCTACTTATGCTTAATATTCTGCTGTATTAAGCATTTCTTACTAGGAGTGTATTAAAGATCTTGTCATTTTCAATAATGATGTAGTCTAGTGTTGAAAGAATCTGTTTGGGAAAGTCTTTCTTAAAGGACAGGAATTTCTGTCATCCTTGTGTTAGAACATGCAGCACGTTGCTTTTTCTAACAGAGTACTTGGTATGTAATTAAAGATTGCTGTATAATTGAAATATATACATATATATATATATATACATACATATATATATATGAACTTCTTAAGTTGGTTAAAACCCAAACCAATACAATATCTATTTGCCCATAATCAAGCACTGTTTCTAAGATATGATCAAACTCCAACAAACATGTAAAGAACTCAATTAAACATAAAAAATTAAAATAGTTTCAGTGTAATTTCCTGACATTTCTCTTTATTCTTTTAATTAAAAAATTTTATTTGTGTCTGTATGTGGATATCTCTGGAGGCCAGAGAATGCTTTTGGACCCCCTGGAGCTGGAGTTACAGGAGGTTGTGAACCACTTGATGTGGGTGCTAGAACCGAGTTCCTGTCCCCTGGAAGAGCAGTTAGTGCTCTGTATACTGAACCATCTCTCCAGCCCCTGTTTTCCTTCTTACTGGCAAATAATAAATATGTTTATGAGGAACAGTGTGATATTACATGTTTATGCTAATTAATGTCATTATTGACTCATCTACTTATTATCTCTTTGTGGGGAGAACAAATCTAGTCTTAAAATCTAGTTTTAGCATTTTGAAGTACACAGGATTAGATACTATCATATACAGACAGAATACCGTGCCTAACTTGGGACTTATTTTTCTTATCTAACTGAAAGTGTGTAGTCTTTCATGATCATTTCTTTTGTATTCCTCTAGAATTATGATTGGTAAGAGCAAATACCAACACTGGGATTTATTTGGGGGGGCGGAGAAGTAAAGAGGAAGTTCTGAGAGAGGCTGCTTACGCTTGGCTATTGTGAATTTTATTTATACTTAAGCCTGTTCTTATCTACAGAGAAAGAAACTTAGGATAGCGAGGTTAAGCAACTTAACCAGGGCCTGCTAGGTATCAAACAGGTGTGTGGGGCCTCTTCCTCCCACTGCAACTGTGGTAAAAAAGCCAGAAGGAAGCGGACAGAGAAGATGAGACAGGACAGAGTGGGCTCGCCCAGGCTGCCCGTGAAACAGTCTGACCACTCACCATGGGTTCGGAGTTGGCAGGACATTTGCTCCAACGTATCAAGGAACAGCTCACACAAGTGCCCTGAAAGAGCGACAGCGGTCAGCACAGGCGTTCCCATGAGGGCCTCGGGGAGACAGCCTTCAGGGGTGTCGGCTTCCCTCCTTGTGAGGGGGGCTCCTTTGGGCTCTCCCACTGTCCCTCCAGTTCCTCCCTGGAGTGCAGAAGGGAAGCCAACGCTGGATGAGAGTTGTGGAATCTGGATATGCCCCACGTTTCCCTTCTCTCTCTGGGCAGAGCAGCCTGTAAACAGGCGGTAGCGTTCTGCTCTCTCTGATGGAGAAGCCCCTGCCCACCGCGGGGACCCTTCAGCCATCTCAGGGATTTAGAGCAGGCACTTAGCAGCTATAAAGCTGAACAATAAAAACTCAGCCTTCCCATTCTTGCCTTTGCCTCCACTGGTTCTTAATTTGGGAAGGAGGAGACAAGATGTAAGTCCACAGATCTGTCCTGATCTGTCCATTCCCTGTAAGGCTCTGGTTGTGATCAACTGGAGAGACTCTAAGCAGGTGCTTCTTGCAGGAAGAGAGCAAATTAAGGATCTCCTCGCCTCCACACTGGTCAGCACACTGTCCCTAAGCTCTCTGCCCTGGTTGGCATATTGCCCTTGCGGCTCTGCCCTGGCTGGCGCACCGTCCCTACAACTCTCTGAATTGTCTTTTGCTTTTCCCACTCTCACGGGTATCCCCATACCTCACTCCTAACTCTTTGGCCATGGGTAGGATGGTAGCTGTGGTTGTTTACCCCTGCTTACGCTTGCATCCACCTGTTTGTGTTCCTTTAAACCATCTGTGACAAATTCTGCTTCCTGCAGGGGCTGGACTTAAAAAGTGCTATTTATTAAACTTCTAAAGTCCAAACATAAAATGTCCGAAGGCCACCATGCTCCCAGTATGTCTAAAACGGGAATTTTAGGAAGTTTCAACTACTTCTACTCTTTATAGATCTAAAGACATATTTTTCAGAGGAATCACTTGGGCTTTTAAGACAGCTTTCCAATCCAAATCACCCTGAGCTAAGCACAGGAAACAGGGCTGGCTTTACACCTAGAGAAAATGGTGAGGGCTAAGTAGTGGAGGAAGGGTTCGTTCTTAGGCAGCTCCTGGAGAGTTCTTTTCCTGATCAAACTGCAATTCTTTGGGTTGTGACTCAAGCCCACATCTTGAGTTTGTTCCTTAGAGAGACGAAGAAACTTTTGAGCACCCAGAAGCAGAACACAGCCAGCAGTGGGGCTGCCCTTGTGCTACAAACTTCTTTCTCTGGACAGAGACGCCTGTGGCAGAAGACTCTGACGAGCACGTTAAATGATTAAATCCCATTCTGTTTCTCATTTTTGCAGATCCTCATTTTTCTAATAGGTTCACATCTGGGTTAGGAGGGAGGCCACTCTCTCTGGCTTAAGCCAGGCAATATGCCCCTGGTGATTATTTCCAAAGAAGGAACCAAACAGGTTGCTGCCAGAGGCTGCCCAGGAGAGTAAATGTTTCAACCTTCCTTAAAAAGGGCTGGTCAGAGTGCCAAAGTGGTCCCCAGATGGTGTCTGACTTTCAGAGGTTAGGCTTTATACAGCAGAAACCAACCAGTCATTGTATCAATCAAGAGCCCTGGGACCAGAAAACCAGTCACCACCCAGTCTACAAGAGAAGAGGACAGGAAGGTGGTTTGCTGGCACATGCCTGAAATCCCGGCACTTGGCAGCTATTCCATGAAAACTGTGAGTTCGAGGCCAGACTGGGTTACATATTGAGACTCTGTTTCAAAGAGGAAAGGATGAGGTGGGGAAAGATTAAAAAGTAAGCTTAGGTGTTTTTCTCTTGTTCCCTTGTTCAGTGTCCACATTCTGAAGATACTGTGGGATCAATTATCACAGCTGAAATATCTTAGAAAGAAAGACTCTTTGTAATTTGGGCTTTGTAGGCCCAGAGTTAAGTTAGAGATTGCCCATGGAGTGATATTGGTAGTAAGTGTGCTTTAATTAAAACTTGCTAAGCCCAAACAGCTGATACTGAGTTAGAAAAGGTCATTAGAGGGTGAGAAGCTCACGAAGAAACAGAAAGTCGGGTATCTGGAGAAAAAAAGATTACAGAAAGACAAGTGAGTCTCTCGGCCAGAGCATCCACCTGCAAAGGTTTTATTGTCTGTTCTCCGTGGAGAGAGTAAAGTGGTGGCCTTGAGCAGGTGTCCCCAGGCGACAAGGGCAATGGAAGAAAAAGGGAGGAGACCAATCCTGCACCCCAGGGGGAAAACCCTGCCCAGATTTCACCCCTATGACTGAATAGGCAGAATAGCCACTCTCCTCCAATGCATGTCTCCCCGAACCTCAGAATGCGACTTTGTCTGGAAATAGAGTCTACAGATGTATTCGGGCTGCGGAGTCCCTAAATTTGGTGACTGTTGTTCTTACAAGCCCAGGAGAAGACACATGGGGAGCAAAGCTACCAGAAGTGAGGGCAGAGATGGATGGGCGTGTGTAGCTACAAGGTGAAGAGTGCCCGGGGCTTCTGGGAACTGTCAGGAGCTCGGGAATTAGTGAAGCAGCATGGTTTATGTTCCAAGCTACACAGGAGGCAGAGGCAGGAGGATCTTCAGAGTACACAAATGTGAGCCACTCTTCAAAGAATCAAAGAGTCCTGGGATTTCAGAGCCTCCAAGGACACAACGGCCTGGCAGATAATTTGATTTCAGATTTCTAGCATCCATAAATGTGATAGAATAAATGACTGGCAACTATGGTAATTTGTTATGGCACATTAAGAACCCCGCACAACTTCAGGCCATCTCCGGTGGAAATCCCGTAAGACCTCATAGAGATCCATCTTTAGGGGGTGGTTTTAGCTGGCTCAGAACGGTGAGGCCAGAATGCTGCCTGCTCTCGGTGTCTGTGCGAGCACCGACTTCCCAAATTTCCTGAGTTCCCTTACCAATCTCATTTCTCTCTTTGTTGCGTCACATCGATGGGGAAGGATCGGGACGATGGAGGGAGGAACAAGGACGCCGGTCAGCATGTAAATTCGGCCGTTTTTGGCAGCGACCTCGGTTTCTTCCACTGCCACATCATTTACCAGAATCCGTCCCTGGAAGAAGCAGAGACATCTTCCATTCTGATGGCGAGAGCTTCGTGTCTGTGAGGTAGTGTAGAGGAATTATCAGAGTAAACATTCAAGTGTCAGTACCAGCCAAGGGCTTCTCACTTACGTTGCGGGTTATGTTAAACTTCACGAACTGGTTGGCCATGGTTCTGATGTGGGGTGTCGAAATGAGAGTGGCCACTTCCAGCTGCAACGGGAAGAGATTGGGAAGTCATCTGCAGCAGCACACAGTGTCCCCATTTCTCACAGTCCTTGCTGCACAAAAGTCCTTAACCGCTGATAAGATAATGGGAACTTGGATGTCATGAGCATTTGCGGCTTTAAGGATTTCTTTGATAAAAATATCACAGACAACAGTTATAGACGGAAGGTTGCTTGGAGCTAATACAAGTCACAAATAATTCTCTGGCCCCAACATATTGGAATGCAAAACTGGGATCTGGTATTTTAAAATCAGGGATAAAATAGTAGGAGGAAGAATAGGGCCAACCTGGGTAAACGCGACAATGTGGTATCTTACGAGTTCCAGAAGTTTCCGAGAGCCCTGCAAAGGAACCAATAGCCTGTGTCAATCAATGAAGAAAACTCTACAAGCTTCTTCTTTTTTGTTAAGAGCCCTTCATTTTGTTTAATGACCTTAGATATTAATCATAAAAGACAATGACCCAACCTCCTTATTAGGAAACTGGAGATAAGAAACTCCATGCACAAGTAGCTGACATTCATCAAATCTCTTGGCTGTTCCCAGAACACAGCACACACATTTCACGTAACCCAGCATCCCTGTGAGTCGAGCCCACTGTTAACCCATTTTACATGTGATAACACTGAGCATCAAAACACACCCAAGACACACAGCTTCCTCAGGCTATGAACCACACCCTCCATCACTCTGCTCAGCCTTCCCTCTGAACATCTTAGGTCACATTTTGGAATCTTATGGCATCCATCACTTGCCCCATAAATCAACATTTACTTGTCAGGGCACATACTGATATTTTAGGAGTGTTCAGCTCTAAGGACCCTGATCAAATATACAACTCAACTATAAGATATACTGAAACAAAACATTTGACAAAAGAAAGTATTGGAGAAAGAAAGCTATTTTAGGAGCTATAGAGAAAGTACTGCAAGGGAAAGATGAAAGATTAATTAAAAGTAAAAATAAGCAAAGATTAAACCGTGTACCTTTTGCATAATGAGTTAACTAGAAAACACCTAACTAAGACCTATTCTCTCAAAAGAAGTCACCCTTCTTCCAAGACATTTCCAAGGTTTCCTGTTGCTTCAAAATGCCGGAGAAACGATGGAAGAAAACAACCAACCAAACCAAACCATGGCAGCTCAACCTGACCACTACCGCAGCTAGGATCCTGGCACTCTCAAGGAGAACTGCAGGCAGGTGTACTGCAGAGAGTCTACAGAATGGAGGAGCCAAAGGTCCCATTCCCTGTGGCAGGAGGTAGAGGCAGTGGTGTCTACCCCTGCCCTGACTCAGCTGGTCATAAGAAACTTCCCAGTTCTGCTAGGTCTGTAGCACAGCTTGGACAGGCCAAGATCTCTGACCAGGGGCCTAATGAAGATTGTCCTTTGTTCCAGAAGATTGTCCTTTCTTGGGACATGCTCTTACAGCATCAAGGCTCAGGCTGAACCCGAGGAGGCCCCCCTCACTCAGCCTCTTCTTAGCCTCTGACTTTGGTCATGATGCTAGGGAGTTACCTGTAAGCAGTGACCTCATATCTCAGTTGGTCTGGTTCAGTTCTATCTCACACCTATGGTCTGGCTGCTTTCCTCATTTTCAGAAGCATCCTGGTGCGGATGATGAGCGATCGGTCTGCCATAACTGCAAGCTGCTAGCGCGATGTGCAGGGCTGTGCTACGGGAAGAATGCCGAGCTTCCTGCCAGTTACCAGCTCTGGACGTGGTGCTTTGTGACCAATGGATGGAGGACACCATGAGACCTTGAACGAGTCAGCCTCTGGGTCTCAGCCACTCCGCGGTTCCCAGACACTGGGATTTGCAAGAGAAAGCAGCATTGCTACAGGCTCCAATGTGTGGCACCAAAGAGGACGGTGCAGAGAGAACATTGCTGAACTGTGTCCAGCCAGACTAGACGGTCAGTTCCTGAATGACAGGATCATGTGTGCCCATGTTGAGCTACTATCACTCTGTGCTCAGATAGGACACACACGTCACACACACACACATCACTTTCTAAGCATTTGCGTCAATAAATTAAAAACAGAGGTTGTGTGCGAGGAAGAGCCCTTGGCTTGAGTTCAGAAGCCTGGGTAGCAATATTGGTTTAGCTTCTGTGTGACCTTGATAGAGTCACTTCCCTGCTAAGGCTTGGTTTTTTCCTGAAAAATAAAGGCACTAGTGTGCATCTCTTCTATAGCTTCGCTTCGACTTGGAGAGAGTCTCTCAATGGGAGAATCCACTTCTAAAGTCTCGTGAGGGTTGGGTCCACATCATATGGAAGACAAGAGAGTGAAAGGGACACGGAATCTATCTCTGGTCACTGTGTGTGGTAGCCCTAGCTGGATAGGGTCATCGGTGTCACCCAGCTTATGGATGCTTTGAGGTGTGAGGTATAGGAGCTTTCAGAAGCCAGTCCCCCTTCTCTTAGGAGCACTCTCATTTCTCTGCGATCAGTGTTGGTTGTCAATGTGACTGAATTGAAAATCACTTGGGAGATCCGTCTCAAGACACTCCTGTGAAGGATTGTCTTGATTGGTTAATTAACGTGGGAAGCCCCATCTTAACTGTGGAGGACTCCCTGGGCTTGGGGTCCTGGGTTGAATGAAATGGAGAAGGGGAGCTGTCTCTGTGTGGGTTCTAGGAAGTGAACTTGGGTCCTCTGCAAGGTCAGTGTGTGTGTGTGTGTGTGTGTGTGTGTGTGTCTTCACGTGTGTCTGTGTCTTTTACCCTAGCATTTTATTGCAAGATGTCCTTGTTGGTACCTAAAGGTATTGTAGCAAGAACTATATCCATGAATCAATAAACCAAAAGGGGAATAGGTTTCAGGTTCACCATAGCAGCGTGGCTGAGACAGCTTGTGTTAGAGTGTGTGTATGTGAGAGTGTGTGTGTTCTGCTCTGTTCTGCAGGTCTGATCCTCAGTCTCACATTAGTGCCACTGGTCACAATGGTTGGGATCAGACCCCAGACCTTGCTTGCTTTACAAGGCCCTCAGGTAATTCCTGATCACACTGGAGTCTGGGAATCGCTGCTTTTAAAGAACTGGGCAGTTCCCGTCCCCCACATTCTGAGCCATCAGTACTGAGATGGCAGCGTGGTTTCTGGAAAGCCACAGAACAAACTTGTAACCATAAAACTCTCTCATTTGTTTGTCATTTTAGTGGGAAAAATTCCTTAGCTATTTATCTCTTCAGATTTTACCTCTTAGGTCCGAGAGATGATTTCAAATCATATTAACCTTGATCTTGATAGAAAGGAATTCACAATCTCTTTTTCAAGGGGAACTATGGCAGCACTGAGAATTAAGGTAGACAAGGAAAGGGTCCCAGGAGAGAGAGAGAGAGAGAGAAAGAGAGAGAGAGAGATCAAAAGAAAAGAGAGGCTAGAGCTTCTAACAGTGACAACACTTGGTCCTTTGAAAGTTTAGTCCAGGCCCGACCCTAAATGACCGACTGAAGGTGTAATTCTCTGGGTGACTTTAGAGTCATATGGAACTGAAAACATTTGCTTATTTCCTCATTTACTTGCTGACTTAGTCTTAGTTCAGGGACTCACAGGATGGACAGTGTGCAGAGCATCAGTGGGTGGCTACTCTACCTCTGGAGAAAGGAGGTAATCAATGGTGCCCGCCTTCATGCTATCCAACGCTTCATTGTTTGGGACAAAAACGGTGTATGGGCCACCAGCTCCACCTTCATCTAGGGCGTGTCCAACATTGGTTTTCTGCATTGGAGAAATTAAATTTTATATTTTTTGTTCACTCAAAATAATATTTGAAGCAGTCATCCGAAAACGTCTAAAGCGGGCACATCTCTACAAAGGACTTAACCAGTCTTTTTTTTTGAAATGTATAGAAGGGCATACCTCTAGCAAAGAGCTGAACCTGCTGAATCTTGGCTGTAGTATTTTCATGATGGTTTGCTGGAAAGAGAGATTTTGTGAAAGAGTCAAATCACAGAATGGCTTGGGGAGTACGAACCTCGGTGTTAGGAGACGGCACAGGGCTAATGTGAAAGGTGAGCATGTGGAAAAAGACAGCCTACTGCCATGGTTATGCAGCTGTCGGTATGGTTGACCAGTTGTCCAAATCTGTGCACTCTACAGAAGCCTCTGGCCACACCAGGGAGGGCAGGAAGAAGAAATTTGTTGACTCTGGCTGACCTCCATGATGCACAGGAGTGAGCCGCTGGGACAACGGGCCTCAGACTGAGTTGTCTGATGTGGCCACAAGTGAGGTTAAAAGAATCCATGAAAACATCCCAAGAATGTCTTTTATTCTCTCCGCAGGAGCACTCAAAAATCTACTGAAAACTATCTTTTTGCAGCTTGAGACCCTCCTTTGAACAAGAAGGCTAAGTTCTGGCAGACACTTTTTTCTTGGATGTTAATCCCCTGGCAGCAAAGAAGGTGGACATGGGCTGACCTCACTTGTATTTTTTATTTTTTTAATACAATCTTTTCTCATCTTACATAGCTATTTCTGTTCTCACTCCTTCCCCTCCCCTTTCCCCGTCCTACCTCCATCCACTTTTCATAAAGGATAAGGCTTCCCATGGGGAGTCAACAAAGTCTGGCACATCACTTTGAGGCAGGACCGAGGCCCTCCCCTCTATATCTAGGCTGAGCAAGGTATCCCTCCAAAAAGAATGTGCTCCAAGACACCAGATCAAGCACTAGGGATAAATCCCGGTCCCATTGCCATACCTCACCTGTGCTTGACTTCTCTCACCTCGGGGTTGCTCTCAAGTGTGGGATCTATCTTGTCCATGGCCCTGTCAACCATGTGTATAAGCCCATTTGAAGCAGCTATGTCCCCCTGGATGATTTTCACCTTTTCACCTCTGTTAAGTTTGAGTTTTAGTTGATTGTCCTAAAATATCAAAGAAAGAAAAGGTACATAAAATTAATATTGTATTCTGGGAAGAACAATTCTGGGATCAGATGTCAGAAGACCTGTGGCTGTAAGACTTGGCATAAGTCCTAAGATCTTACGTGAGGATGAAGGTGTCTGTTTGGCCCACCTTGCATGGTTTCCACTAAGTTCAAGTGAGATAGTGTATGACATCACTGATGAATGTCACATGCAAAATTTGGGCAAGTCAGTGTCTGCCCTCCTCCAATATGTTGCAAGTTCCACCAGGGGGTAACAATTCAATTGGTTGCATTACATCTTTCGTTATAATACGGCAATTTTCAACCTGTGGGTTGCGACCCCTTTGGGAGTCAAACAACCCTTTTACAGGGGTCCCATGTCAGATACTCTACATATCAGATATGCATTACAATTCATAACAGTAACAGCATTACAGTTATGAGGTAGCAGTGAAATCATTTTATGGTTGGGGTCGCCACACCCTGGGGAACTGAATTAAAGGCATGCAGCACTAGGAAGGCTGAGAGCCCCTGCTTTATATTAATATATTGTACACATGCATTTGTTGAACGAGCAAATGGAAATAATTGCTGTTTCCTCTTATGTGACAATAAATATTAATGGATATATGCATGCCCACGTCATATATACGCTGTTCTATCCTGTTCTCACGTCAGATCTGTGTCAGTTAGGTCCACAGTTGAATCATGGCTCGGATACTTTTTGTGTGACTCTCCACTATCCCATAGGGAAAGCTAGGATACTGATAAGACCTCCTTCCTGAGTCGTTGTACATAACACAGGTAAAGATTTATGCCTGTACTTAGCATGGAAAGAACACTCGGCAATCTACCAGCCATTGATATTAGGTGAAATACACCAGCCTAGGACACAACCTATACATGCACACATGTTAATCACCTGCCCCCACCTGCCACCTGCCGTCACCTTGTGAAGAGAAGTGAGGTAGTCTGATTCAAACTAGAAGACAAGGAGATATGAACGAAGATGATGGACCAGTACCCGCAACCTACACTAAACACACTCCATTCATTTCCTTTCCTAAGAGGGATGCCGATGGTTTGGAGAAGGGCTTCCAGGAAGCAGACTCACAGCACCTCAACTTCATGGTGGTGATAAGCCAGCCTGCCTCCATCTTAGGCTTGAAAGCCATCTTACAGTAAAGACAAACTAGATTCATTCCTGTTTATGGTTGATTCTCTGTTTCTCAAGGACTGGGCTATGTCCCACCTGTAACCTTAACTACAAATGGTTCTTTATACTGCTGTTCCAGGAAACAGCAACCATGCCTTTGTTTCAAAAGATTGTTATAACCACCTGTTGTTATGACCACTTTGTTATGACTCCCTGGCAACCATGTCTTTGTTTCAGAAGGTTGTTACGACCAACTTGTTTTGCTTATGTTCTGCCTCTTTAACCCTGCCCATTTGCCTGCCAAATTCCCCACCCTACTCCCGAACTATAAAAACCCTTATCTCAGACAGGCTCAGTGTTGATCTCTTGAACCTCACTTTTAGGGAGAGATAGCCCATGTACATGAACAGAAAAAGCGTGCTTTAATTAGTTGCTTGTTTTAATAATTTGTTCACAATGTTGGGTCAGTGGTCTTTTTCCTCACTTCTGTGGAGTTAACAGCGGTAGCCAAATGATGGAAAGCTAACTCAAGCCAAAATCCCCCTTCTGTAACAGTTTCCTGGACTCCCTCTGGCCCAGCCGCTGCCCTGATGCTGTCATGGGAGTGAAACTCGGAGACATTCTGACCTTATCCCTGTTGAAGATTTCCCCCGACTTTCCGGTCAGTGTGTAGAAGGTGTCTGTGTCATTCATCTGCCTGGTGCTCATTTGCCCCGCAATGATGTGGAGCTTCACAAAGTACCGAGCTGCCTCGTTGTCCATCAGAAGCTCTTTCACCTAAGAAGAGAGAGCCGGATGGGATGGCATCAGAAGGAAATGAGCAGAGTGTGGCTGCTTTTGTCCTTGTCTGGAAGGTCTGCTGGAGGGTAAAATGAAGAGTCCTGAACTCATGGTGTTAGCAGCAGAGATTTCAAAACAGTCTAGCATTGACTGTGCCATATGGCTACTAGTAACCATTCTTATGCAGATCTACAATGAAGAAGAGCAAGTGCAGCAAGGAAAACCGCAAACATACAGTTTGAGGAGAAAAGGAGCCCCAGGAAATGTAATGTTGCAGCAAAATCCTATGCTTAGAGAGATACAAAGTTAAGGGAAAGTCTGAGCTGAATGCTGAGCAGAGTAAAGGAGGTGATGTCCTCAGGATAGGATCTCAACCAGTGAATCCTGCTGCATGTAGAATAGAGGGCTTGTGTAGTAAAGGAAACCATCAAGCAGTCAAAAGTAATGTAGCAAAGGAGACCATCAGCAAGTCAGAGCTTATGCAAATATGATTTAAGAAAGGGAACAGACTCTAACCTGAGCAAGCAGAAGAACTCGGCATCTTGAGTGTAATTGAAGTTTCTCAATTTAAATAAGATGCTGCCTGCTAAGGCATTTTATATTGGCCTCTCAGAGGGGGTTATTTTGGTTACTCACGTTGAATCCTTTTAATCCCTTGTCTGAGGGCAGCAGCACAGTGAAGGGTCCCAGGTTGCTCAGTGGCCAGGCGTAAGTTCTGTCTTAAGAGTCCAAACACACAGTGGGAGAAAAATGTCGTGTGGGTCAGAGGTACATGGGAAGGGTCTAGAATCAGTCCGTCTCTGTTCTCACTGCTCTGTTGTGATCTTGGTAAACAGAGGTTCTCTAAGAGCACATGGTACTGGATGTGCTGGCCTGACGTATTCCCAGAACACTCTAAGAGTTTTCCAGGAGACTTAGCTGTGTCTTTCCAGATGATTTGCTGTGGAAGGGCAGGGTGTGACAGGGCCTGTGGACAGACCTACAGTCCCTGACCATATTCCTGCCTGGCTGAGCTGCCCATTTCCGCATGTAAGGATACAGCCCTTGGCTCCATCCAAGGGCAGTTCGTGGGAGCCCACATTAGTGTGAGTGTTCCGTTGGCGCTCTCTTGAAGAGCAGAATATTTGAACACAGGACCCTACATTTGCATTCTGCTCGGAGTCTTGCAAGCTGGGTAGCCAGTCAGTTTCCATCACCCAGGGGATGCTGGGACATTACACCAGGCTCTGTACTCTCACGTAGGAGCAAGATGCCCGGGGAAGGTGAAACGCAAGCAGGGCTACGTCTAGGATGTCTAGGATGTTTGTGTGTGGGGCCTGCCCTTCTAAGGACACTCTGCACCTCCTTCTGTTCTCAGTGTCCTGGGAGTTCCCAGCTGAAGGTCAGAGTTGCTGCAAGGCTATTCTCAGCCCAAGCCAGGTCTGTACCTCTTGAGTCTCCCTAGGCGGCTTTGCAAAGAGCAGAATGTCACACAGGAGCAAGGGTAAAAATTATTCAGAGGACACAGCACTGACCTGCAAGGACACTGCCTCTTTTACTGTGTTCTTTCTGGGGAATTGTTTTAGCATACTTGGCCAATTCTAACATAAATGCTGATATTTTAAGATTTCTGTTCCATCAGGTCTGTGTTTTATGCTTTTGCTGATTGGTTGAGGTGCTCTGAACAGCTGTAAGGCTTCGGCCTTCAGAGGATGTGGGGTTACAGTTTGTAGACGGCATTTGGAAATGCATAAGCATGTTTTGTGCTGTCATGCTCCCTAGGGCTGCGAGAAGATCTGTAACTACTACAGGTTAATTAGTGGCTTCCGGCTAAGGGTGAACACCAGTAAGATTTGTCCAACATTCAGATGATACCTTCCCCGCTGAATATGGATACCACCATGGGGCTTAGGTGACTCTCTATTCTCAGTGTCCTCTGCCAACATTTATGCATCCTTGAAAAGTTCAGGAAGTCACGGAAAAGGGGACAATCTTTTACACCAGCGACTGCCCCTCTTGCTCTTATCGCTAGTCTGCTGACGTATGGCGATGTTATGACCCTGGTCTCAGTTCTCTGCCTACTAATCTTCGCTCTGCTAGTCTGCCTGGCAAACAGCTGTCTCCTTGGAAACAGCCCTCTGGTTTTCCCCATCACCTGCATGGCTTGTCCCTACAAGGGCTAGCCCCAATGTACCAGCTTCATCTGCCCCTTTCTACCTGCTTGTGTCTGGCAGATGCCCTGGCCTGAGAGAGGGCTGTGCTTGAGGAGGAAATCTGCATACCCAGGATGGAGATGAAAGAGGTCAGCCTTCCTTGCCACATTCCTCTGGGTTCCGTGTTTAATTCCCTGAGTCTCTCCATGATGTTTCCATAGCAGGTCAGGCCGTTGCCCATGTAACCTTTCCGGCAAGTGCACCTGGAGAGGGGCGGAGTCACATTCTCAGGGCCTTGGAGCCATCGAGAGCCGAGAGTGCTCAACCCTGGGCTTAGTTCCACAGGCTTCACAGGTGGGGAGAACCATATGATAGGCAGGATTGAAGAGGCCGGGAGAGACATAGACTCAGGGAGCTGTCAGTGGCAGAACCTTGTTTAGAGTTGCATTTCCAGAACAGATAATATAATGCACGTGTGTGCACACACACGCACACACACACACACACACACACACACACACACACACACTTACAAATGCCAGATAACTTTGCATGTTCTTTGTTGAAGTAACTTTCAAAGTGCAGTCTAGATACCATCCATATAAGAATCACTTGTAATGTTTGCTACAAATGTAGACTCAAGAGCCTCAGGCCAGAATAAGCCAACTTTGGTGGTTAAAATTGACTGCCAACTTGATTGGCTATAGAGCCACCATGGAGGCTAATCTATGGACATGCCTTTGTGTGGTTATCTAGAACAGGTTTACTAAGGAGGGTAAGCCCGCTTTAACCGTGGGTGGCTCCACTCACCGGACTAAACAAAAAGAGAAATGGACTGGGCACAGAGCGCTTCTCTCTCTCTCTTTCTTTCTCTCTCTCTCTCTCTCTCTCTCTCTCTCTCTCTCTCTCTCCTTCTCTTTTTCCTCCCTGACTGCAGATTGCAGCTGCCTCAAGTTTCTGGTGCTGTGGCTTGTGGCTTCCTCACCGTGATGGCTCAGAGCCCATCCCCACTCTGGGTCAGATCTTCTTACACGCTCTATCACTCTATCACTGCACTGTGTAGCCCCTGGTCAGTCTGGTTATGTAATAAACTTCCCTCTCCAGGGAGAACACAGGCTTTGAGTGTCTTTGTTCACTGTGCTGGTTCCAGAGTGTGGAACAGGGTTGGACATTCTTAATCAGTAGTCACCCACTAAGTAGAAACTGAGTCAAATATCTATCTATCTATCTATCTATCTATCTATCTATCTATCTATCTATC